CGTGAATTACTAACGCTACAATATCTTTTCGTTTGAAATAATAACAGTTTTTAGCTAATCTACGTCACAACGCCCAACGACATTGCCAAGAAAATAAGGTTGACCATGATTGATCATGATAACCCCCACGTGCTGTTACCAACTTTAGCTAATTATCATAGCTGTTGGGCCCGTGTGAGTGTGTGGCAGTGACTGAGTGTTCAACAAGGCATGAAAGCCCAATCTAATAGTTATCGGTGGCCCTCCATACCATAGGCTTACACGTTGTTATTTACTTTGGCTAATTATCATAACCAGAAGGCCCATACCCATGTGCACCCCTGATTGAGGCGCAAACTATGAGTAATAACGTGATACGTTGGCGAACAACGACCCTTAACCGTCATAAACGCATGCGTTTTTGCCCAACTTGGCTAGCTGTTGTTGTTTTCAGGCTCATGTCCATGTGTGCTGCTAAGTATGAGACATCAATCATACGTGGTAACCTCAAAAAACAACGGCTTTTGTCATGATGAAAGTGCGCATTTCCGCCACGCCATGCCCATTCTTGAAAGTTACAAGTTATTGGTTGAATATCTTCATTTATTGAATGGACTGGTGTATCCATAATGCATTGTCACCTCATTTTGTTTTCCGTAAACCGTCCTCACCAGATAACGAATTTGAAATGAAAAATGTATGTTCTGTTAATCTTGGTTTATATTTTTGTAAAATCGTTCAGTCTTCCCACTGGTAGCCCCTAGTAGGCAATGAAGAATCACTACCCAACTATAAACATCTCCCAACACTAAACGGGCTATGTCTACGCCCCAAAAACTACCTCTGATGACATTTTAAACCATTTTTGCTTAAACACGCGATAACGCCACCGCCTACAATTTTGCTGGCTAACCGCCTTGTAACATGTTTGGCTACCGGGGCACTTATGCATCAGCCACAGTTTCCGGAACCAACTATTCTCACCCCTGCTCTTCTTACCTAGCTTCATGGACGATTCCACAGGTGTCCATACACTTGGTGAAGCGAAATTTGGTCAAAGCAGCTTCTCATATCAGCATATATCAAGGCCAGTTTCCGTTGACCGAAGACCGCCGCTCCTTGGTGTCTCCACTAAAACGTCGATCATCGTTTTTTTGAGATCGAGCAGTATCACATCGCAATGGTAATTAGAAATTGTGGACACTCAGACGGGAACTGTTTTGGGCCGCAGCCTCGTTGCGACAAAGTGCTAGCATGCACCGATGAATACCGCCGGTTCTTGCTGATCTTAATTTAACACGATTTCCTAGGCGACCTTACCTCTCCTAACAATCCCAAATGACTCACATAGGATGGTTATATATGGAGCTGTTCATGAACCCAGGTACGATGTCATGATGATGGGCACTGCCGCCACATTCCGCTTGATGAACTGCGTAGTTCAATGTGTCCACTGTTCTCTCACCAAGCGTGTTACATATGCCTAAAAGACTGCCCCGCTCGGCTAAATTTGTGCAGAATTTCCTATCTGTTGGTCAGCTTGTTATACTGTCTGCCTTCACCACCCACGAACCGACTAATTCACCCCATGGCACCATCCAGGATTCAGTGCACCGGTGAAGATAAATACTCGCCCCGAACCAAATACAGCGTGTGTTGACCATCACCAAAAGGTTCAACAAACTCGCTAGCTTAGGAGAATTTCATTACTTGTCCGTGAGTTGTCTGTTAATTGAAAGGGAGCTCGGAAATGATTGAAATCAAATCGGGGATTAAGGAATAAAGTGAGTGGCAAATTAGCTCAGCTTAAATGACCACACGTCAGAGGGCGATAGACAAAGGAAAAGAGCCCGGAATTCAGCAACACGGAAAACTTGAGCCACAGTGCAAGTAGCAGAGGTTTTGAAGATCAAATATTGGTGACAGGGATTAACCAAAACGTTGAATTCATCTGAATGACCTGACTTTGACATCTAACACCACCTTTTCCTCAGGTTGGTAGGTTTGCTAGACGTCAAAACAACTCCACAGCCAAGAGGGATTGACAGCCGTAATGGTATGCAAATCTTAAGGAGATTGATCAGTCGGGTTGAAACAATCTGATAAGCCTATCATAGAGTTAAGCTGGCAGATAACAAGTGTGTGGTTTTTTCGGCCAGTTTACGCGGCGCTCATGGATGAAAGACAACAGCGCGTACTACACTACATAACGGGGCACCAAAAAATGTAGAACAACTTGAAGTGTTGTGCCCCTCTTTGGGTTACACACTTAAATCGTCATTATGCCATCCACATATCATATCAGTATACAACGACACTCAGACGTCACTCATTCTGCTCCCACGGATGGTAGTTTGATTTAGCTAGTTTTGCCTAGTAGCAGGTGAGCTTGTCGACCTCGCTCTGCAATGTCTGAGTAGAACCGGATGTGACCTGAATCTGAAAGCTCCGCATACTGACAGCTGAGAACATAAAGAGCAGTGCTACACCTTTTTTCGTTCGTGCCTTTCAGGTGAACGACAGCCACTGACCGACAAGAACAAAAGTGACCCGGGAATCTTGGGCAAAAGCCCCGATTCTGTGTATCAATCCGTGAATCCGTGGATCCGCGATGCCACGCAGCAGCTACCCAGGATGAGTAATTTTGTCTGATAAAAGTTTGGTCTCTGAGCCTACGAGCCTTCCCACCATGTCCATGCGGTGTGCTTTCTGGGGCGACGGTGAAAAGCCCGTTTGCAAAACCTCGTTGCATCGGGATATAAATAACAACTAGGTCCCCTTGGAGGCGAAAATAATTCAGGAGAAAGTGGTCAACGACCACGAGGCGAGGTTTTTAGTTCACGTATTTGAAGCCAGCAGCCATTTTCGTAGCAGCTCGCTGGACACGCTCAATGAGGGTGTCCTGAGGTGAGTCCTGAGAAGACAACTTGGTATATTCTAGAAGCGGTCTGACATGGACTCCGCAGATTATTCCGAATTCCATACAGTGAATATGCCCACCAAGCTGGGTACCAGACTGATATTGCTAATGTCGGTGTTTGTCACATTTAGACACTTAGTCGCTAATTTCTTCCTCTGGTTCGCCTGCAACTCCTCGTTCTTAGCTTCGGTACGCGATGGATCAGAGGCGTTTTCAAGTAGCGGTGCATTACATTCCTGCATACCGGCATTTCTGGTTGCAACACAGCTTGTTCTAAGGAGACGGTGATTTGCCAGTATTGACCTATGCACCTATTAAGCTGACCACGTTTGAGTATGTGACTAATCCATATCGCTTTCAATGCATCCAATAAATGAACTAGCGACTTGCACCATATTTGAATTGGCCTACAGCTGTCGCTTGACCATAGGCGTAAGCCGTCGCAAATGCTGACTGACGCGTTTTCAGTACAAGATGGCGTTTATTCTCCGCGAATACCAAAGAGAGAAACAAAACACAGGTAATTATAAGTATTTCATTAATGGCTTGTGCGCTACCCATCCGAACGCAAATCGAGGGTTCACGCCGAACGTGTGTTGCAGAACGAGCAACTTTTCTATTTACTTTCATTGTGACAATACTAGTTTCTTTGGTTAGAGTTTGTTTATTATAAATAAGTTGGATTGATTTCGTTCACGTCGTAATAGACTGAAACCTTTATCCGGCCTCATAGAGTACGGGGCACCGGTTTACTTCCGTGTATGGTAATGGTGAGTGGGAAAGATGGTCACGAAAAGGACATCAGAATTGAGACTCTTTGTCTACATCAGTAGTTTTAGGACACGAAATAGAAGCCGAACCTCCGTTTGTGAGCGGATCTAGGGCTCAGTTATTCGCAGCATTGGACTCGTCGCCAGTGGCTTGGGAGGGTTCTAATGGGGCAACAAAATTAGGCTATTCTCTCGCAATGTCAGCATTCTAGATTTATAAATTAGAAACCCTGATGCTCTAGAAAAACCTACATCAAAAAGAGTATAAATATGATATGTCATACGAAGTTTTCACAGGGTAATCCCACTAGTGGCTTGATGCAAAAGCGAGTGGCCATCTTTGACCAAGGATCGGTTTGATTGTTCCTCAGGCTGGATACGCCGATAGAATCATGCTCATAAGTTTTGCTGTTGATTATGTTGATATGTTCTCTGCAAAAGAGAGAACTCATCACAGTAGATGAGTATATATTAATGATGATCTATATAATGATCTATATTAATGATTCGCGGTGGAACTTATTCAGGATGAACGAAACCTCCAAACTGCCTTGCCTCATTAGAATGACAGTCAGAAATCAAATTTTGCAGAAAGCTTTCGTTTAGTCCACACTATTCCCTATATTAGCCAACAAGTTATTCGGGTACGAACATGAAAGTTAGATTTTCCACGTAGGTCAAGCGAAATGCAGTCTCATTGACTTACTGAACATCGTACATTCGTTTTTCTGTTCTAAGACACGAAGCTGCTTATCCACGTGGATCGGTTGCACACAGCGTACAAAACGCGCTGAGTAGCAAACAATCCATTTACCATTATTCATTGTGTAGCAGGGTTGAACAGATTGTGAAACACAGATTGAATACAGGTAACGTGCACATGCGAAGAGCCTATGGTGATTGTAGACTGGGATCGCATCGTATACAATCACAAGAAAAACAGATTTCTCGGGAGAGTTTCCCACCTGAGAGCATTTTGTTAGGGGTAGTCAGTTTAATTCAGGGTTAACTTTGTTTGTTTCTCTTACCTAATGCCTACATGCCACGGGTGTGCGTTTTTGCCGGAATTGCTAGAACCAACTTATTTTTCTTTATTTGGATATCATAATTTATAACACTATGCATCTTTTTTCTTCCGCGTTGTCATTTTTACATCCATCGCGAACAAAATTGTAAGGCAACCAGTCACTGTTAGGTTTTCGTCCCGCACTATAGAAATACATCCCCTTATTTCGGTTTGCCAGGTTATTTCACTCAACAGTTGAATCTTTCACATTTTTTACACGTTGTTTGTAGGCAAAATATCGAGATGTTATTTTGTTCCATTTCAGGATATTTGTCAACCGGAGTCTTCAGCTTGATAAAATCAAGTTCTTTGGGTTTGATATGGATTACACTCTTGCCGGTTGGTTTTAGTCGATGAAGACAATTTTTTCAGAATACAAATCCCCAGATTATGAAGAACTTGCTTTTGACACACTGAAGGAGCGCTTGGTTCACGTGGGGTACCCAGAAGAGATTCTGTCATTCAAATATGAGCCGTCTTTCCCGATTAGGTAAGTTAATTCACTGTCGGCATTATTGTCCGCCTAGCTTCTACTGAAGCTTTGAATGCATTCCATTGTTTGAAACCCAAGTGTTTATCATATTGCAAAGAAAACACCTTGTCCTTCCTCATGTGTTTGTTCAAAGATGATCCAGCATACGATAACTCAGTGAAACGATAACGACTCTAGTTTCCTAACAAGTCCCGCTTTATTCACATATACGAATGTTAGTTAGTGTTACTAAGTTGACGTTTGTAGCAGAGAGGATAACGTGTTTGTTCTGGGCACCAAACTTCCTCATAACTAAGGAATCAAGGTGGTCATTGTGCGGATCGTTTTGCACCTGATTTTCCTTGGCCTCATAATTTGGCGTTCACTACTATCTGGCAGCCTGTTTTTTTGTGTCCAGCACAGCTTTTTACGAAGCTGGGATATGGTTGCCCGTTAAAGCGGCTGCATTACATGGTAAACATAGATGTGTCACCATTGGCAGGCTGTTTCACACTGAATACACCATGCTCTCCGAGGATTTATTGATTTTTCCAGTTTAGAAGTCTTGCGTCCATCTCTGACATCAAATCACCGTGAGTGCTATATAATACGACAGGGTTTGTATCCACTGAAGTACTAGGTGGAAAGTCACCACCACCTGTCGAAAAGTTATTTTGGCTGTTAGGTTGTGGTTACTCCTACGATAAAAAAGCTTTCGGTGGGTATTGATTCATAGTAGCTAGTCTTTTATCATAACTCTGTTTTACTTCGCATGGCATTGACCAGCAGTCAAACGGGTATTCGTACGTTTGATATATTTTGAAACATAAATGCTTGAATGGCGGGCTGTTTAATGGGCCAGAAGTTGACACATTACTGACTATAGTCTACAAATAGTTGGGATAGACGGTCTCAGGAAGTGTAAGAATGTTTCGCGTACACGGTCACCTACCAAGATCATAAACCGTTCTGTTTTTTATTAAAATTTTCTTCGGGTAGGAGCACAAGTATCTGTCTCTCTTCTTAGGGGTGTCAAGTAGTGGAGGTTTTTTATTTGGAAAAGTTTTTTAATAGTTCCGGCGCTGGTTCCGGTTACTTCTGGCTGCACCTCAAAAACATATCAGCACTATGTTAACTTGAGGATGTTTTTGTGTTGCATTTTCGGGTTATTTCCGCCTCATTTTTTGTAGTCTCGCAGACGCCATTGGTCATTCTTGAATTTACTGAGTACCATGCCAGGACCAATGAGGATATCAAATACAACAGGTCAACAAATGTTAAAATCCTCATTTTTTAGCGACTCTGATGCCTACTCTCAGAATTGGATGGCACAATTTTGCTGCAAGGTGAAACGATACTGCAGCGTTTACGTAGACAAAGGCAGCGTTGCGTCTGAAACATAAGGATGATTTTTCGCACATGGAAATAAGTCGATGCACCTTGCCCCATGACAGATCAGATAAACTTAGCAAGGGCTATAAAAACCGATAGCCCTGGCTGTTTGATTCATTACCTTAGGGTCGCAATGGGTAACAATACGAAGGTCACGAACCTCAGCTTCTCGTGGTAACAGTCAATCCCCGAACGTGTAGGTGACATCTTGTTAGGTTGATCCGTAGGTTGACCTCTATGTCCAGTCTTCTGCCATAACCAAAGTTTACCAGCAATATCTGCGCGGACACTGCATCATGTCTTCAGTACGCCCAAAATGATGTGCTCCCACGCGCGAGATAGATTGTTCACGTAGATATTGAATAGTGTAGGACCCAGTATCGATCCAGTATCTCTCGGATACTCCAATACCCGCTTGTAGTAGTTAGAAATCTGTCACTGTTCATCTAGTGGCTGTCTCGCAAGAATTCGACTAACTATTATATAAATGCTTGTTGGAATTGGCTTTCCTGGTTAAGAGCAGGGATCGTCATGACGCGCTTTGTCAAGCGCTTTACTGTTAATACAGTATCTCCTTAGTGTTGCCGATCAGACGACCCTGGGAAAACTTTCGTGCACCAGAAAAAAACCCACATTGGTTGGTCACTAAAGCACACTGACCCGATGTTTGTAATGCGTTGATTTCAAAGTAATGCTACAGGAACCTCTTCACCCATAACTATATCACCTTTCCGTTAGTCGATTTCAGACTAACTGTCCGATAACTAGTCGCGTCTTGTTTGTCACCAATGATGGCTTATTTCCGCACCGTCGGTATAAGACTTCCGCTGACCGATTAATGATCAGTACTTGGGCCATATCTGTCGCCAGGTGGCACAGTATCAACAATCGAAACTCATCAAATCTACCAACTTTCTGTTTTTTCCAAGTTTCCCAAGTTTCTCCAGGTTGAACAGAATCCGTGGAGCTACACCTATGTTTCTTCCAGTCTTCCATCGATTCGGGCTTTATACGGGTTCTGGCTTGTGATTTACTGAGTAGTATGTTTGCTCCCAGTTATCCTCCATGATTTGATCCACTTCAAATCTCAATGAGGGTTCCGCATCTACTATCGTCAGTCTTTAACAATTAAGACAAGACCCCGGCGCGGCTGTTCTCTTCCATTCTGGGTTAAACGGGACTCGCACGCTTTCTGCTCAGAACACATCCATTATACCTCGCATAATCCACTGAAGTCCCTTCCGTTCGGTAAGCGTTTGCCAACCTTGGTTTAGCACATGAAAGAGATCTCAATTCCTTAGTCATACAAGGTGAGCCTCGGACTGCCACCACTGCTTTTTTCTTCAGAACGGAACATTGGCACAACGTATGCAGATTGGTCTGAAACATGGATCATGGCAACTGCGGGACATACAAGTAATCTGGGTGGTCCTGAAGTGGCAATGCAACGGGTAACTGTCTCGGATCGGCCGCCAATGATAAGCCCGGTCATAAGCTGTTGTGTCGTGTAGTCGGGCTTCTGTTCTGGCTACACATGGCTAGGTTTAGCCGTGCGAAGAAGGCCAACAATGAGCAGCCCGACGAAGAACAGCGAGTCACCGTATTATGAGGCGTTCGGTAAAGTTGCTTGCACTACCTTCCAACAGGACTGTGAAGTCGGGAAGGCGTTTCTTTCAGCCGTCCAGCATATCCATATTTAGGAGGGCAGCGAATCTGCCTTCCCCGAGAAAGGAGGCGTTCGCCCAACGGTTGTCAGTGACCGACTGCGCATTATTCAACAGTCGGAATACTCTCAAAACTAGGGTACGGTGAGGCTTAAAAATCACCTGCTGTACGAAACCACAGTAGGAGTGAGAGTGTAATACCTTACTCCATGCGTCCTCGGGTCAGGATGAACCCCTGCAGCCAAATGGGTCAAACTATTTAGTAGTTGGTTCTGGGAAGGGTCTCCAGAGAAAGCCCTAACCACCGCTGCCTCTTAGCTAAGATTTTTTCAGTCAGAGGCTAGGAAGAGAGCCGCGGAACAAAAGCTTTCATTCTTCTACTGTCGTGTCGGTTGATAAGCCCGGTCATAAGCTGTTGTGTCGTGTAGTCGGGCTTCTGTTCTGGCTACACATGGCTAGGTTTAGCCGTGCGAAGAAGGCCAACAATGAGCAGCCCGACGAAGAACAGCGAGTCACCGTATTATGAGGCGTTCTGTAGGTAAAGTTGCACTACCTTCCAACAGGACTGTGAAGTCGGGAAGGCGTTTCTTTCAGCCGTCCAGCATATCCATATTTAGGAGGGCAGCGAATCTGCCTTCCACGAGAAAGGAGGCGTTCGCCCAACGGTTGTCAGTGACCGACTGCGCATTATTCAACAGTCGGAATACTCTCAAAACTAGGGTACGGTGAGGCTTAAAAATCACCTGCTGTACGAAACCACAGTAGGAGTGAGAGTGTAATACCTTACTCCATGCGTCCTCGGGTCAGGATGAACCCCTGCAGCCAAATGGGTCAAACTATTTAGTAGTTGGTTCTGGGAAGGGTCTCCAGAGAAAGCCCTAACCACCGCTGCCTCTTAGCTAAGATTTTTTCAGTCAGAGGCTAGGAAGAGAGCCGCGGAACAAAAGCTTTCATTCTTCTACTGTCGTGTTGGTCAAACGCTCAAGATGGGGTACCTCAGCCAAGCTTTTTTTGGCCTAGGCAACTGAAATGTATCATTCGCCGTTACAGGTCTCCGTTCACTGACTCCCCCCCACACATCCATAACCGAAGTCCTTCTGACTCATTTAGTGGTTAATCGCCTACCCTTTGCTCCGTACCTAAGCTTTTGTCCGGTAAAATAAATAAAACCGAACCGTTATTAAATTCAAGAGGTCTGTTACACATTGCTGCCTTCAGCGCCTGTACTTTGTGTCGAATTACACAATAATTCGCTCCTGCCTAGACCTTGTTCTCTTTTTTGGTGTATGTTGTGTCTCCGAAACAAGCATATATAACTCCATTTCGGTCATACGTATCCGTACATACCCAGATTCCTCGCACTTTAATTTTAGTATGTCTGGTGATCTTGAAGCGATGACTCGTGGTATCTAAGGTGTAGTAGTTGTGGTTGGCCCCAGGGCAGAATGGGCCTTACTGGACTGGATTTCAGTGCTCAAGTTCAAGTGGTTACGCTGTTAGATTAACTGGTTCGACCACGATCAGTGCATCTCGATACGGTTGATTTTGTTTGTCTGTTGTGTCAGCATACACTAAAACAGACGACAACTCTGACGCTGAAAAAAGTGGCTTCTAAGGAGGTCTGTCACGGTCACTGCGTTTAGCGATATAGTGATTCTGGCAGGTGATATGAATGGTCAGTTTGGTTGACGCTCACCGCACAGATAATGGGGAATGATTTCGTCAGTTGTGTGCTGAACATCATTTTTATAGCCCGCACAAACTGGCAGCCGCAGCGCCATCATCGTGTGAATTGGAGGCCGTCAACTGCAAACCAGTTGTGGATTCACTTGAGCCATGTGACACTCAGCTACTGGTGGAGAGCTTAAATACAAGACTGTCGTTCATTTTGGAGTATACCACTGAACTCCGATCATGACCCTGTATGAGAATGCGTATCTTTCCAGTTTCAATATAAAACGCGCCGGTTGATGCAAAGCCATTTAGGTCACCACTTACAAAGCGTCTCTGTGGCTCAACATTATCGCGTTGTTTTGATTGGGGAGTTTCCAGAACTTGACGGATACGGTAGTTATAGTTGTGATTTAGATGATGATTGGAGAATGATAAAAGAGGTCGTGACCGTCGAGGCCGTCTGCTTGAGGTTCGTCGCACAAGTCAATGAACGCTGGATCAGCGGCTCTGAATGAAGCCAGAAAAACTATATTAGCGACAAATGACTATGATGACGTGTGCAACTATATCGGACTCTGGATAATGAAGAGTCAAAGGATTGACAGAGTGTTTGCGGATCACCAAAGCCTGGGAAATGGACAAGAATTTTGCACGGGTAGAAGCCGCATTCGGTTTCAAATAACCTTGTCAACTGATCCGATGACGCTGGGTTTCAGTTAGTCGATCTCCAAAAAATACGTTCTCAGTTTATTCACATAAAGGTCGTAATAATCTATGGATTGAACACTGAAGAACAGTACAGTCGGGTCCGGCCAAACCACCCTCTGAAAGAACTAACTGAACCCCAGTGCTATTTTGACTGCAGTTCTGCGTTTAACTTGACTGCTTCAGCACAGCTTAACACCTGACAATGCGGCTTTTACCCTGCACTCTTCAAAAAAGATTGTCAGTCTGTCGTGACTAACCCAACGGTCCTACTCTAAGCAAATATAGTGAGAATCTCAACAGAATGGAGCTCCTAGATAGTGATTCTCATAAAAAAATGTAAAAGAACATCGTGCGAAGTTTACCGGGACATTATTCTAGTGACCATGGGCTCCAAGATCACTCTGGTATTATCCGACGCAGGTTGATCCGTCATCGGACGGGACAGACTCAAGAGATTTAAGCTGGCTTTTACCGTGCTCGGGGTTGGATCGATTACATTCTCACCTTGCGACAATTATTGGAACTGCGTGACCCTTTCCGATGGTCATATTTCTCGATCGCAACCTGCTTTTGACTCCACTGGTCAGAACCTGTGACTGTCTGGCGATGAAGTGTGTCCTCTATAAATTATTTTATCTTTATAATACTTTATATACTATGTTCTCAAAGACCCGTACATGTTTACAGCGAATTTTTCCTAAATTTGTCACATTTAGTGGCATCAGGCAAAGGTGTCCGCTGTCGCTCTTTACCTTCGTCTTTGTAATCGATATACTGTTTCTAACACCTCGAGGAACAAAAACCGCTATCGAGGCTTTTGGTCGTGAACATTGAGTGCACCAACGATATTGTCCTTAAAAATGAGGAATATTTCAAATAATAATTCTGATATACATTTCGGCATGAGCCTCGTGCGTGTTTGATGTAATGGGTTTGTGCGAGATTGGGGGAAATCCAGCCCAAACCTCAAACTTTCAGGTGAACTGATCAACGTTGTAGATAAGTTCATATACCTGGGCAGCTGTATATGGCCCGGTGGACTGACGAAAAACGAATTGACTCCGTAAATTGGGAGGGCCCAATCCGCGTTTGCTAACTTTTTACATGACATCAGCCTGACTGTGAAGTGTAGAGTGCACAGTACCGTGGTCCGTTCTCTCCGAATTTATGAGTCAGGGGCGTGACTATAACATGTGGAAGACCTTCAAATGCTCCCTATGTTTGACTATGGGTGCCTGCCGTATATTTCGCAGGCCCATTTGGAAAACCATATCAGCAATACTGAAGTGCGCTAGATGGTCTTCTTGGAAGTTCATTCTCCTTCGATGGACCAGCTGGTTACACGCTACATAATAGGCTGGTTGGGCAATGTGATTCTTATGCTAGAGGACCATTTGCCTCTTGAGGCATCGTCGTCCAGCCTTGTGGTGGATGGATATAACTCAGTGGCAGTCAGTCCATGACCTGCCAGCGAAGCATAAGAGCCCTTACCAATCTATTCAATTGTGTTGGTAAATGCCCTCTCCTCAGATGGGGATTGCGGGACCAGACAAATCATTTGACGCCAACGAAGTGAATGGATCACCGTCTCCAATGCGTGACTTCCATTCCCGTATTCTCTTTAGCCCCGATGGATGAAGCTGTAGAAGCTGGAACGATTGCGTTTTGATGAGCCAGAAAACTGAACGGGACTGAACTGTCGGGGATCTGGGGTACTTGTTGTTTGAGACTGATTAATGCCGCTTTGATGCACAGGAGCACGACCCCATCCACGTTTTCGAGTCCGATCATGACAGTACCACTGGTGGCCGCATATTTCTACTTCTGAATTCCCGAAATCGATGTACAATCGGGTCTTATTTAATCTAGTAAAATGCGGCAAAACAAGCCATCCATATTCAAGTTCACTCCGTGACCATCTGAAATTTCCAACACAAATGGATATGATCTTGATATTGGTTGTCGAATCCTGTCAGATTGTCAATATGACTGATACGTGCGCGAACTTTCTCCTTATCAAACAAAAATTACGGGCACGAAGGTCTATTTCTCGGGCATGTATAACTTTACTCAGTGTATCCACCGCACTACGCATCACGGTCCTCAGGTGACCGGGCGGATGACCCATGGTGTATTTCGAAGTCTGTACACTTGTGAGGGCATATGATGATCCTTCTCTACGGAACTCAAGGCCACTTTCAACAGCCTTGGGTGGATAGCCTCTTCTGTTTGCTTATAATGGGGATGGTTCTTAGCACTATGAATCCTGTCCACTATCAGGCTGAACTCCTCCATATCTGCATCTTATCTTGCCTCAGCGGTCTGCTCTGCTGATTTCAGCAGGCGGGAAACTATAACACAGTTATCTTTAGAAGACATGATCCCCTTATTCGTCGTTCGCCTGACGTTTCCTCTGTGCACATAAATCAATCTGCAGGTGTCATTATTAGTTGTCTGAGCTGGTGCTGGTGAAAGCTAAGCTGACCAGCACTCTGGATTCTACCGGCGATAACGGGTTCCAAGGTTTCTTGTTGTATTTCCTCTTTTTTCAACGGGCGTGCTGTGCCCGGTTTCACTATTCGCATTTCTGTGTGGGTTAGAAAAATCATGGACAGTTTTACAGATGTGTTCTTGACTAACAATATATGTTTTACCAACGAATTCACATTGTAGCTAACAGCTCATACCAACGAGCAGTTGCTTCCGGGGTGCTATCGTTTATTATACAAACGCTAGCTTTCCTACTCTGGCGCATGAATGCAGATACACAACTTGCCTAAACCAATCAGGCAGCCGGACATTTGAACAGCATAGTTCTCTATATCTTTCAATTTACGTATGGCGCTAATGGCAACATTCACTAAGAACGTCAAAGATCGGATGTTTTTCTTTAGAAAATTTGCTGTGTCACTAGGTTCTACTATCACGCTCGCATAGGGGTATAGCAAACATATACTCAAAAACATTCAAAAATTTCTGTTAAACAAAAGTATTCAGAACAAGCCATTATACAGAAGTTGGAGCTCCACGGTGACTCAAAGTTACTGGTCACCATGACTAACTCAAGTTTATCATGTTACGTATTACTCTCCCAGCGTAAGTTTGTCTGTGGGCGTAAGAGCTCTGGACTACACATGACTTCAAACTGTCATTGCCTGTATACAGAAAACTGTAGAAACATGAGTGACTTGAGCCTGTTTGGCTAAGACTGCGTAGCTGAGTCATTATAATTTCTGTTAACGTCTAACGAGAGTTTGGCCCTTCCAGTCCAACCTTTTTGATTGGCGATATCCGCTCACGTGTTACCAGATAATTAACTTGAGTGTATTCAGTGCCTTCAGGAGTGCTGCGGTGGGCACTAGAAAGTACCTCACTAAATGTGATTGCATCTACGGGATCTGTTGGTTCCCCATTCTAGTGGTAAAGAGATCTTCGGACAAATAGAAACTAAAGTGAAGGGGATGTCAGAAAGGTGAATATTTGAAACTGCATTGGTATTTGCGTTGTATGACTTTTGTTTGTGCACCAGGCTATAATTATCCTTTGCGTGAATTGAGGTTTTCAGGCCACTTGATTCCTAACAAATTGAAGTGTACATGTATGGCTTATAAGCTGAACCATAATTCAGTCAGTCGATCATCACATTCAACCGGAAGTATTTCGCTTTTAGAGGCCTATGGTTCGATCGTCTGTACGGGACCTTTCTGAAAATCGATCAGTTTGGGAATATATTACGGTGTATGCGGGGCTTCAAGTTAGTACAAGGGTATGTATCTGTTCCGTTTCCACATGTCCCCACCTAGAGAGCAGTTACGAGCGTTGTATCCAAACAAATTCATCAAATATGACGAAAAACGTATCGAGATTATGAACACTTTATTCAGTCTTCCAGGTGAGCATTCTTTATACTTTTTGGATGACTATTGGTTGTAGAAATTCATATGCTATCATGCATCATAAACATGCTTATCAGTGACCCAACGCATATTCAACTCGACAAAGGTGTCAAGAAGGGAAATTTGTATATGTCATACACCTCGGTGTACGAGGATGTGCGTGAAGCTCGAGAGTGGATGCACGAGGTGAGACTTTTGCACTACTTCGGAGTATTTGCTTTCTGACTTTGGGCGCAACTGCAGCTAGTCGGAGCTCGCCTTTGAAGAGGTCATGTAAATAAGTATCGCCGTCATCTGGAAACTAATACTGTAGATGTTGGTGCGCGCAAGCATAGATGAACTTTGTACCCTTTAAAAAGCTTACTTGTCCTCTTACAGAGGAAAGTCACAGTGGCGTGATAAACGGTCTTCTCAGGGGGTTGATGCTGCAGAGAATGTTGCAACCGAGCGTTTATTCTAGACCTGGAGCAGATCTGTTACCAAATGTTAATTTAGCTTTCAACAGACACTGAACCTAAGACCTTAAATTTAAAAGTGCTCTTCAAGGAGATTCCTTACATAACAGTCCATGTTTTGCCCTAATAGTCTACCCAGTCAGATTGGCTAGGAAAATATTAGTGTGGTACTTGTTAGCATCGGTAGCACTCCGTGTGCACGTATTATGTTTGAATTAAGGCATTGGGAATTAACCATAAGGCATTATAACCTTCGGGATGGGGATCCGGACAAACTACTTGCCTGAGCACACTATCATATTCACCTCTTATCGCTACGATTAGAAACCATAAGCTGTTTGCCTTTCGATTAGCAACACAATAGCCTGTTCGTTTAATTCCATGGTTGCAGTTGTCCGCAGGCTACATTGTGTCAGTTGAGTACACCTCTTGTTGAAATGACGACTGCGGATAAAATGACTCTAAAAGGGACAATTTATAATGCGCTTGCATTTTATATGTGGTGGGTAGAGTCATTCGTTTGCAACGATTCATTCAATTGCTAATACTTAATGAATTGTCACGTCTTCACGTCTTTTACCAGTGCTTTAGGTATACAGGTACGGCGTCTTGGCTCATTTGGCTTTCTTATTCAATGTTTGTTTCTGATGAACGTAAAGAAATGCAATGGAGAAATAATTGTTTCTCTAACTATATTATTGGGACTAACTTTTCCCCTGTTGTCCGGCTTGTCTGTCCTAAAGGCTTGATGTGAAGGAGCAGCCGTTTTGTGCGAATCGTTCAACAAGGCTTGTGTGCTTTATAAAACAGCCATCCTTCACGGTTGACCAAATATTACTTCGTATTGCCTCTACATGTAGTGGCAGTTCTTTATTTGAATCTGTTAACCGTATTTTTCAGGGACGTGAGCGTGCAATCAAACTTTTATCCTCTGCTTTAGGGCGAATTGAAACGGCGCACATTGGCTGACATTAATCGATATTTGGATCAGAACCCCAAGCTTTGCAGTTTATTGGATCGGTACGTCAGCCTTCCCATTTTTTTCGACTCATTGTGGCTGAAAACTCGTGGAGTAACTGTCACGTTTCGGTGGTGTGACCTCGTTACATGCCAGAGCTTATGTGATGGTTTTCGTGTAGTCATTACCACCATTGATGTCCGCCTGTGCTTCACGTGGTAGTAAAGCACAACTAGTAACCTCGCGTTTGGCTGTCTGTGGATTACACACAGCACATGCAGTGTTCAGCACTTCATGCATTGTGATAGCCCCTCTGTATAGGGCCACTTTTTAGCGTTTTTTGGTAGTGTATTAGCTTGTGTGGCCGGGTTTGTCTTGTAGTTTTCTTCTACCGATGTGTAAAAAACACTGTTCTGCTGATTAAGATCCACCTCACAGATTTTGTTTTGATTCTTTGGTATGAATAGCAGTGTCTCCGCCATTCTCGCGTAAGCCTGGTCAGTATACCGCTACCAGGTGGTTCCACTACACTCGTTTACTGAGTCGTACCTGACCATGGAACCACTTAACTAGTGGCTGTCACAGCGTTTATCATGTAAGCAGTGGACAAATTGATTGATTCCGGATAAACCAAACGGAACCGATTTAACCTTAATCTGAGCGGGGGAACACTAAGCTAAGTATGATCTGAATTGCGCGATGTCAGCAGTGAGCCTCTGCCACTTGATTACAAGCGTTCTGTTGAGGATGTAGCAGTCGTCTCAATAAGTAATCTCGTGAATAATGTGAGAGCATACTGATCTAATGTTTAAACTTCCCAGTCATATTTAGATCAACTGGATTCATAGACAACAGTGTTGAATAGCCTACTCGTTCTAAAATACCGCAAGGAAAGATACAAACGAGCTTCGAATGGATGCATCATTGATTGTTTTCTGTAGCTCAGAGTTCCACTGATTTTCAAATGCAGGATATTTTGCCTGAAATCTAGAGATCACGCTTACCTGATAGGTCTCAAATACGACAAAATAGGTTGCACTCGGTTGCCCAATTTTAGTGTAATTGCGCGCAGTGCTTATAGGGGACATAACCTTACTCCCTCGAGCATCAGTCCAAACAAATATCAGGTGACATCTTGCTTCCATATTTGGTAGAGGAACGTCGTAAGCTTGTTATTTTCTGAGGCTTTTTAATCCCACTACAAACTGAATGCAAATGAATGATCTATTCAAGTTGAGCTATGTCTAGTAGATGAGCCATCAGGATGGGTCGGTAGGAATGTCTGTGGCTGTTGATCAACCTCAATACGTTATATGCGTTTTCTTGTGGACACGCCCCCTACAGGTTTTACTTTTAGTTGCCAAAATGCAAGACCACTCAGTCTAGCTAGCCGAAACTTTTCCTAATGCTGTGACAGGAAGTTTTCGGCCTGAGGAAAATACCCCGTCAGACAATGATAAGGATGCAGAAACATTTGTATCGATCTCCTCGTTTGACTGAAACAATCCATAAGGACTGTCTAATCGAAATTGTCAACGACATCTGTAAGCAAAGCGGACATTTTAGCTGAAAACAGTCCGCTCATTTGTTGATCTAAAGTAAAAACTATATCCTGGCACGTTTTTTTAATTTCTGGAATAGGGTTTGTCAGAATTATCTGCGAGTTGGTCCAATGGATCCATTTAAGATCGATTACAAGTTGTCAGAATGGTGATCCAATCAATACCTTATTGAGTTGGGCACCCGTGATTTATCTGTGGGCCATATTTATCGACCATGTTAATCGGTTTCCTGATGCTTCAGCAATTTTGGGAGTTTTCATATCCTGCTAGAGCTTCCGTTCGAATGAAATATCATTCTGTACTGTAACCAGCGTGTGGTCAACATGCGGAATTTATTATCCCTACTCAAAACAAGCTGGTGTTGTGGGGGGAGCTTGCTTCTGCGTTACTTATTTGACCTTTCACTCATTACTGGAAGCCATGAAATTGCACCCTCTTGTTGTGCACACATTTTCTATTTCAGTTTACGCAGTAATGGAGCTAAAGTGTTCATACTAACCAACAGTGGATTCAAATACACCAATGTGAGTTAGTGGTTTTCAACAATTTCAAAACGGTGAAAAACAAGAAGTACCATTTTTAACATGAGCCCGTCTTTATGGGTATTCAGTATGGTTGAAGGTGTTTGGCTTGGCTGCTATGTAATTGTCTGTCTGCCTATTTCCATCTTGGTACCCAACCTAAAGTGTCTCTCAATTTTTTTCATCCTAATAAATTTTCATCTGAAACGAAAGATCAGATTATTTATCTGAGCATTCCTATACGGGACAGCACAGTGAATATTCATCTAGACGGGAGTAAGTAATGACTGCGACCGACGCACACAGTTCGTAAACACGCTCCTTGTCACGAGCAGAGCAATTTTTCAGCTGAATTACCGATTAGTTAGGTTATCTGTCTTCACATATTTTTTGGAGCTGTCACCGAACAGGGTGAAATTGCAGGCACGCATAGTCGTGCGTAGCGAGCAAACGCATACACGGAAATCAAGTAAATTCACTTTTAACTGGTCCTATTTTTTGATAGGTGGAGAGGATTTTAGGAACAGGAACTTTGGAAGGTTGTGTTTCTGAATGTTGAGTGTGACCAGGGATGTGGTTAGATACACCACTTTGCTCAACACGAAGTTTTATTTTCGAGCTGAGTGAAGCAATAAAAATTACGAAAGACGAAATAGGATGTTAATCAAAGTTTCATAATCAACGTAAACATCAACGTCCCAAATTAATGAGTGCTCATGCAAGAACTACCTGCTCTTCGGTATTCACGCCACCGTAATTTAGTTCTAGAATTTCTGGATTTGAGATTGATTCACTGTGCGCAATCGTATTCAGGATTAAGATACCCGACTGAGAGTCTGGCGTCCGAATATCCGGTTGTGTACTACTTTTTGTGGAAAACCGTCCATTTAACAAACGACCTAAACATGGTATAGCCTTACCTCAGTCCTCGTGACGGTCCACGTTGTACTTCTTTGTATTTATTTTACTCGTTAACTGACGGCTCAAAAAATAGTGTTACTGACAGTGTTCCCTGCGCTTGCCCAAAGACGTCTCGAAGTATGGCCGACAACGGATGGCCAGTGGCTTCCGTACAAGCAGTTTTCGGCCAGTCTGAGTGACCATTCAAAAGTCCACCACGTAACTCAGTGTCAGACCTTCGCTGAAAAGTTCTTTCTTGTCCGTATTTGATCACTAACGTCATCGCGTTGACTTCGCCGTCTGTGATGGTGAAATTTCCTGGCCACTTCAGTGACACAAAATTATTGTATTAGACACGACACAAAATTTCTTCAAGAAAACATCCGACAGGGCGTGGGGCATATGGATCTCTAACGCGATCAATGGTAATTTTTGGTTTCCTAATGTATGCTTCCATGTGCTTCCATGTGGGGAGATGAACATAAAAGTTCACTTTGCAACGCTCCACACTCACCCGGGGAGTATCTGTGCCTTCAACCTCACGGTCGTGTTACATATGGAGCGAAAATTCTTAGTGCTTGATCCACCGAATTGTTATATCAAATATTGCTCATCAGGTTTAAAGTATGATATGTTCCGGGTCTGAATGTTCAACTATGAACACTGGAACAGTCCTATCCGTCAGTATGAAGTCAGCGTGTTTGTAGCATTTGTCTGGTGGTGAACTTGCGGGAATCAACTAACACTAAATTTTGCGTGTGGTGATGACAAGTTACTCTCGACTACTGGTAACTTGATGATTTTCACGTAGCTGATTGTTGACCCTTTTGACGCTTCAGAAATTAACGCTGGTTCAAGTAGGACATAGGGTTGACGAAAACTCGGGGACTGCGCTTGCCTGATGTGCCCCAAGAAGGGTGGAACCGGTAGTCCACTATCAAAGATTTTTCAACAAACTTGTGACTTACGGAAAGTATACTTTCTTGTTGGGAAACATTACTCATAAGGGATAATAGTTCTCAGCAACACTCAGGGTTGAGCTTTTGTTCAAGATAAGGTTGGATATGTTGTTTTATTGGAGCTAAACGACATTGATTATTAGGTTCTGTTGGCTCGAACCAGTCTTCGGTGCAACACACTGATTGATATGGAGAGGAGATTCAAGTAAGACCTCAGTAAACCTGCATATGTGATGCGCCTTAAAATTTATTCACGTTTAAGGTTAATCGGTAGCTGTTGTGAGTGTTACTATTAAGATATATGGGAAAACTTTTTCCCGGTGTGGTTCGAAAGATAAAATTCAGTCGTTTGGTTTATTGGTCGAATTCGAACAGACAACATGATAGACTGCCGGGAGCAAGCCTTAGTAATTTATAATGTGAGCGATTGTGGGGAACGTTGTTTTGAAGAGGAGGGCTACTATATACTAAGTCTGCCAATACTAAAGGAACGTGCACGGCTGTTAATCAAGTGTAGTAACACAGGGTGCAAGTCAATGACAACAACGAAATAATACGCATCAAGAATAGGTATTTGTCGGTTGTTATAGGAGATCTGGCCAGCTCCATCACCCGCAACGCCTACGCCAGCATTCGACCGCCATCCTTTTGTTTGTGTGATAATTATCGGCTTTCGGTAGTGAGAACCAACTGAGCTGAATGTGAAGTTTATCACCAGTAATTGCCTGTCTGTCTTAAAGCACATGCGGTGTGTGGTTACAGGTAGACTGACGACATAGCATTCAATTTCCACAGGAAGACTAGATCCTTCACAGCAAGGCAGAACAGACGTGCTAATGACGGTCTCTATCTAAAGCAAAAGTTCGCGAGTTTTCAATTCGGAAGCAACTTTATTCTGGTTAAAGTGGTGTTGTTGCTTGTTCGTTTGACAAAAAGCACCTGTTGAATCCGGAGTACGCGAGCGGAGTCTGTCCCAGACAACTGGAGTGAATCAGTGATAGTGCCCGTTTTCAAAAAAGGGGCGCGTAGTGAGTGTGGTAACCACAGGGGAGTTAGCTTGACCCCGGTCGTAACGAGACTGTTGGCGTCAATTGTGCTTCGTCGCCTTACGGTGGCTCGCGAGATACTGACTCGAGAGCAGCAAGCGGGATTCCGGCCTGGTAGTGGTTGTGCTGACCAAATCAGGTGCTAGAACAACGCCATACGTATAAGCGACCCACAATTCTAGTATTACTGGATTTCCGAGGCGCATTCGACTCGGTTGATCGGTCTGTTCTTGAGACGCTTGCCCACCAAGGAATGCCCCGGAAGTTTGTAAGCATAATACGTTCTTTGTATTCTCAGACTTCCGGACATGTGAGAGTGTACAGAGAGCTCTCCAAAAGCTTCCGCACACAAAGCGGTGTCCGTCAGGGATGCCCACTCTCTCCATTCCTTTTTAACTTTGTGATCGATGAAATAATGAGACTGCAGGGTCTCCAAAACCAAAACCCTGGTGTTCAAATAGCCAGTGAAGAAAACCTTGTCGATCTGGAATATGCAGACGACATCGTTCTCATGTTCGAAGAGGAGGAGAAGGCGCAAGTATTCTTGGATGAACTGACCAAAGTCATCCCGTCCTTTGATATGCACTTTGCACCCACAAAGTGTAAGGTCAAGCTTGTGGACGTGCAGTCACTGAACACGACCTTACGATCCAGGGAGAGGTACTGGAAGTTGTGGAGCGTTTTAAGTACCTTGGAAGTTGTATTAGTTCTGATCGTAGTGTGACAGATGAGGTGAATGCACGAATCTGAAAGGCTCGGGCCGCGTTTGCTAACTTGAGACACCTATGGCGTCAAAATGGTTTATCCCTGAATCTGAAGGGACGAGTGTATCAAGCTACAGTACGGGCTGTTCTGTTGTATGGCTGTGAGACTTGGCCTATTCGAGCAGCGGAACAGAGACGTCTTCAGGTGTTCGACAATCGTTGTCTCACAACCATAGCCCGTGTGGGTTGGTGTCGGCGAATCCATAACGAGG